TCTTAGTTACATAAGTGGCGCTGGGCAAGGACTCTGCATTTTGCGTGTTTGATTTTTATTTTGCTTCATTTTTCCATTGTTCATTTCCCGGTTAGTTGCTCTTTTAATCGCCTTGCTTAGTTATCTCTGTGTCTTGTGTCTTGTGTCCTGTGTCTTGGGGCGGTTCGAACTTCTGTGAGCAGGCTTTGGGCTTCTTAGCCAGGCTTTCAATTTCAATTAGTTGAAGAGAGTTTGAACGTGGCTACGACTTAATCCTGTTGCTGGTGTTTTGTTTGAGCGATTGGGTTAATATTTAATTGACATTCACTGAGATCAAAGTGAGTTTTCCTAATTTATGTCGGTAATCCTTTGGCAATCCTGGCGAAAACACTTTGCCAGGTAATTTATTATTTTGTACTTTTTACATTTTTCTTTGGCTTTGGCTTGGCTTTTGTTTTATCGCTATTGATACGCTAATTACAAGCGATAATTTATCAAGCGCACACACAGATAATCTCGCACATAGTAACACGTATCGCTGGCTGCTAAAAATTCTGCTGCAGTGGCAAAAATTGCTACTTAATTACGTTGGCTTTGGCTTCGGCTTCGGCATCCGCTACATGCTCCATGCCCCGTCTCCCACGCCATTCCAACCATTCCCCACTCTCTGCAGCTCTCTTTCCCATCCTCATTCTCGACGTCAATGTCACGATTGCAGGTTTTCCACCCTCGTTGCCCCTGGCTGGGGTAACTTTACAATTAACTACTAATTGCTCATACGCCACGTTTCCTGGCTGGCACTAGCACAAAGTCAGGTGTGCGTGGCGGCTCACACACACACACACACACACATCCAACCGTCGCATCCATCGCACTTGTCTTTCTTGGCCTTCCTTTTGCGCTAATTATCCGCGTTGTCACCCACCTTTGTCGCTGTTGTTGTCTGGCATTTACTGAATTAAGTTTTAAATTTTTATTAAATGCCTTTGCGCATTCTTTCACTCTCTCCGCAGTCGCCATTCCTTTCTCTGTGCCTTCCTTGAGGCTTTCAGCTACTGTAATTAGTTTTTAATTGCTTTTCAGGGGAACGTAACTATGCGAACGCCGACTGGGGCCCCCGACAGGACCTCCATAAATAGTTCACTTTTGCTCCCGACAGCCTAAAGATTTCCCATTTTCCATTTTAACTTTTTACACTTTTTTTATGGGCCCAGACGCAGACAGAGAACCCCGGCCCAGGTCGAGGTCCAGGCCCATTCGCAGCTGTGGCAAAGTCAATCAGCAATCGGGAGTGCCCCACATCAACGGCATGTTCAGGCCAATGGCACAAAGGCAAAGAGAGGCGAAAAATAGCATGCAAATAAAAGGAAAGTAATCACAAAACTTTCGCAATAAATCTATGAATATAATGAAAAACCCAAAGTGCTACCCAACATTCTTGCTCGCTATTACAATTTCAATATTTCACATATACATATCTGCATGTCAATATGGAAATGGATGGCGGCCCTGGGAGGTCAGTGCGACAATAAAATACTCTCCGTCGTGGAAAGTTGACAATGAATAGGCAGCAGACTCTAGCACTCATGGAATATTAATCCATAATACAAACCATTCAATCATTTGTTAATAATACGATACTGCTGCTCAATATCTTGACTTTGATATGGATCAATATGGGTTTCGACTTACCCCATTTTGGGCAATTATTCCAAGATATCCATTTCAGAAACTTGAACTTGTACTCGCCCATCAATCAATACAGCCTCGGCTCTTATTTCGATTACACTTTCGTTTTAAATAAATTAATCTTTGCCAACTCTCGCTTAAGTCAGAGATAGCTTCAATTACATAAGGTAAATACTTTGCACAAACAGAGTATCAATCAACAGACATGGCAAGCAAAATGGGTCCACAACATGAAGAGCTTTTGGTCCTTCCAATTTGCCCACAAACACAAACACGCAGATACGCACACACACACACACACTCACCTCATGCAAATTGCAAACACATGTCGAAGGCGCAAAACATTGTCAAACAAAAAATGAAAAATTTATGAAAACGAAAATGAAACAACAACAAAATCATAAGTGGAGCAAAAATATGTCGCGCCCAGCGTAAAAAAAAAAATGTATGCATACAAATATCAAGCATATTTTACAGAGGATAGCAGAGAGTGAGAGACAAAGAGAGAGGGGGATGGTAGGGCGAAATTTTCGTTTCGTTTAGGTAAAACTTCCAACTCATTTCGCACAAATGACAAGCCATTTTGTGTGCCGAGTGCCAAATATTTTACATGCCAGGCAGCAAAACATATTTTTTTGGCACAAAACTGCACACCCCTAAATCGACAGACGAAGCAGCAGTCGAATAAGAGGGAAAGCCCAGTATGCAGAGGATGAAGAAGAACCAGTCTAAAGGGAAGAGAAATTACCATAGAGAGGGAGTAGCAATATCAGCATAGCAGCAGATGTCTGCTTTCGAAAATCACTCATACGCAACGCTGCCGCTGAGCATTGAACAGCTTCAATTGCCGTTTGATGGTTCATTAAAATTTTGCTTGCTGCATTGGGTCGAGAGCAATCGAGCACAATAAATCGAGACCAGGTGCCATGCGGGCAGAGTATTCAAATAAATGATGCAAGCTACCGGCTCCTGCTGCAGCAAGCTCCAGTTCGACTGGAGTGGCAGGAGTGGGCTGTGGGCTGTGCAGCTGCCACCTATGCCAAGCCTTAGATAAATAGCGAAATAAATTAAAGTGTGCCGCATGTTTTAAGCTTCGTCCCGGCTGGCAACTTAATTGCCGACTCGAGTCAAGACTGTGCCAAGCAGCCGAGACTGGAGAGAGCCTTAACCTGAAAAAATACTCATATTCCACATATCGCTTTCGTAATAATATTAATAGCATACCACACACCCAAGCAGACAAGCCATTGAGGCCTGCACACATATGGCAGGTATTTATGTCAGCCAAAATTGCAAAACACAAAATGGTAGCCCATGCGCTAGATCTAACACGGGGATATTAGGAAAGGAGATTAAAAGTAGGCCTTGGAGATGACTGAAATTATTTATAGACAAATATATAGCGCAACAATATTTAATACAATATTTTATGAACATTTCAAGACGGGGGTTTGAACAGGACTCAAAAATTAACTGGTAAATCTTAAGTATGAGCATGAGGTCTGTTCAATCAGGACTTTAATATATTTTCTACATTTTTTAATGCACATTGGCATTCCATTTCTAACAAAGCTATTTATGTGTCAACTAAAACCTTTTTTACCCACGAACCTTTGACTAACATACATACTCCCAAGAAGTGTATGCCTTTGTCGCCTCTGCAAATTCCCCAAATTTTTCATCAGTTTTCTTGTACGTTTACGTATGCGATACACGCACCTGTTTGGCCTGGGCTGGCCTGGGCTGAGCCACATATCTAATTTTAAACATTTCTCAAACTCAATTACATGCCAAGAAGCCGTGCTGCGGTAGATGATTATGGAGAGTGGGAGCGAAGACGAGTCGTGTAGGTGTGCCCCTACCAAGGTAATTGCTTGCAAATTACACAGTTACAGAACCAACACAAGAAAAAACCCGAGCATAAAAAGAGAACAAGTGAAAGTAAGACAAAACTGAAAGCTGAGAAAACTTTCCAGCAGAGCTACGAGTGTCTAATGTTGAGAGGCTCCTCAGCGTCGTCAACGCTGAGTCTAATGAAATCAAACAAAGACACCGGCAGGATGGCACATCTCCAGGGGTGTGGAAATCATCTTAAATTAGCAGCAAAACTCGGCAATTATGCGAGAAGTTGGACAAAACCAGTTGCCAACTTTACTTTACGCAACTTTACTTGGCTTGCCATTTCTTTTTGTGTGTGTTCTTCTTTTGAGCAAATGCTAATGACTGAAAGTGCCACAGAGAGTAGTCACAGCGGCGTGGGGGATGGGAGAGTCAAAGTCAAGCCACAGGTTGACTGACAAACATATTGACAGCGCGTCGAAGGGGGCCGAAGTGGCTGCCGGAAATGGCAGCACGGTACGGCACAAAATGGCTGCTTGTTTGCATCCGGTCTGGGCCAAAGATGGCAAACACATTTAGCCATGAAGTGAGGAAAGCCTGCTCCGTTCCGTTTCGTTTCGTTTCGCCTCGCCTACCATACATATTTTATGCAAACGAAAAGCACACTCTACCTCTTTGCCCCCACACGGCAAACTTAAAATGGAAAACCGCGGCTTCTCCTTCACATTGCTCCCCCAGTCTCTCTCTTTCTCTCTCTCCTCTAAGCAGCACCCTTACTACCCGTTCTGACTGGGACTGTCTAGTTCATATTAATAATTCATAAAAATTTATGCGAAATAGACAACATTTGTGTCAGTTCTGTCAGTTGCTGCTGCGGTCTAACCTGGCAGACAGCCGCCCGGACTGTGGTCGGCGGCGAACAATAATGGAGAGGAGAGCCAGAGCCAGAGCCTGCCAATGTAATCGAGTATGCCAGCTGTTTTGTATATTTTACGGGAATACTTGTATCCATAGATTTTTCTTTGTTTTTTCCCAGGTTATATTCCTTACATAACATACAGCTGCTGTTGTTCAAAGTTATATGGATGTGCCTGTTGTTTGTACACTCTTTTGTTGGTATACAAATTTGTATAATTTTTTAAATTTAAAGTAAATTGGCTTATGCACAACTTTAAGCAATTTATTTTATAATTTTGTAATCCCAACAACTTAAAAGCGAACGAATCCCACTATTACTGTAGCAAATTACTGATAATATAAACTTGCGACAAGAAATCTGGAATGTAGTCAAATCCTTGTTCAAACCAAACCAACATTTTTACACATATTTTTTTTTAGGTTTTATTAAGCTCCGGCTGCCACAATTAGAAAAGCAATTTCATGTTAAGCCGCTTAAAAGTAAAAAGAAAATTGAAATTGAATTTCCCTTTAGACATAGACATATTTATTTATTTTTTTTCATCTCATTGCCTGATGGGATTATGTCATTTATTTCCAAATCAAATCAAATCAGTCAGAGCGTTCGAAATTTTTCTACAAGTAACAAAAACACTCCCCAAATAATACTGTACTCGTATTTATTATATGGTTAAAATTCGCGTTTTGATTGTGCGTCGTATCATGTGCATTCTATATTGCTGGGAGGAGGCGTTCCTCGATTTCTTGGATCGCCACAATACCAAGATCCAGGCCGTGCTGCATCCGCTCTCGATGGCGTCGCTGGTGTCGGTCATCGGGTTCCTGTTCGTCTACGATATGCTCTACGCACTGCCAGAGCTTACCGACACCCAGGGACTGTGGTACAAGCTGCACTGCCTGTGGAGCATCTTCGCTGTGTACAGCATCTTCAGCAATCTGTGGGTCTGCTTCTGGACGGACACCTCGGTGCAGGCGCTGCCCGAGTACCGCCGGCGTCCGCATCGGGAAGAGGCACACCTGTGGCACTACTGCCCCAACTGCGAGATTATGGTGCCACCGCGTGCCTGGCACTGCCGCCTGTGCAAGGTCTGCTGCCTGAAGCGGGACCACCACTGCACCTTCACCGCCAACTGCATCGGCCACCTCAATCAGCGCTACTTCCTTGTCTTCCTCTTCTACGGCACGCTGGGCAGCTTCCAGTCGCTGATCTACAATTTTATGTACGTGTGGAGAACTGGTGCCTTTATCGTGGCGGATCCCTTCCTGATCTTGAGCTTTGGCCAGCCGGACAGAGACCCAACCATCGGCTCGAAAGTCCTGGCATCCATGGTGCTCAAGGTGAATCTGGTCGCCGCCATGGCCGCCGGCGGCATGTTCATCAGTCAACTGTTAATGGTCTACCGGAACAGCACCTGCTTCATGATGTCCGACCGCACCTACGACCTCGGACCGATGAAGAACTTCCGCCAGGTGCTGGGCAAGCGCTGCTTATGGACCCTCCTATCGGTGCACATCAATAGTCCCCTGCCCCACGACGGCACCGAGTGGCCGATGAACAAGCACACGGACGTCTAGATATCCCAGTAACCCACTGTGAAACCCACTGTGAAACACCATCATCATCCCCGCTGTACATACTCGTAGACGCTTGGTTCGATTACAGATTCTCTATTCCCATGCTTTTGGCCAGACAATCGAGTTTCTCGCTTCATTTAATTCGGCAATTCGTGTCGCCATTCAATGTGCTAATTACCACTGGCAATGCGGTGCGAGGGGTTGGAATGGGAATGGGGATGGGAATGGGGATGGCAGAGTTGCCACGCGCCAGGATCTCATCTGATTGCTAGATGGAATTGCAAATTTCTGGTTTGTTTTCTTGGTGAAGGGTATATGCATTTTGATGGGTAGCTCTGTACTAGGTGGGGGATGCTAATGCTAAATTTATGCAAACCCTAAGATATGTAGAAATAAATGAAGCGAATAAACGACAGAGAAATGGAATGATATAATAATGAATGTTCAAAGGTTGAAGCTAACTGGGCTATGCAGCTACAAAGCAGCTAGGTACAGTTGACAGATAGAACAAAAGTACTAAAATTATTATTATAGTAAATAATAGCATATAAATAAAAGTACAGGCATACTGACAAAACAAGATAGAAATTCAAATGGCAAATGGATTGGCAAAGGAAACCATTTAATATTTTAAAGATAAAAGGATCAACTAGGATCAGTTTTATTTGAGTTAAGAAACAGGATAAGTCAGATAAAAAATACAACTGCATGCCAATAAGTTACCATCATTTATCTGTAGATATTCAGATATGAGTAGTCGAAGAACCGCTTTGCCTTGAACCACTGCCCACTTGCTTGCCTCAATCCACTGCATGGCCAGTGGGTGCAGTTAGGATATAACAAATTCGACTAGGAAGCAAGCATTTCCTTTCGACATTTGACGCTTAGTATTTGCATAAATTTGCGCCTCACCGAAATCCCAGCGAATTGGCTTGCAGCGAGAGTCACAGCCCCTGTGCTTGCCTCTCTCTATTCATGCCTCAAACCTCAGATCAGACCATGGCTTGTGACACCTTTTGCCGCAAGTCGAAAACACTTGTCAAGTGTCGGGAAAAGCCAAAAAACCGTTTGAAAAATGAAGGCGACAGAGACAGGACAGGGATTGGGGGCAGCTCCGAGGATGGACCGGAGGCTGAATGGGGCTCGAGGAGAATTAATGACGGCGCATGTCACTGACAAGCCACGAAACATGGAATCAAAGTCCGACGGGGGGGAAGGGACAGGACGGAGGCGTGGGCGTGGTGCCGTTGCCGTTGCATGAAAAATGTTCGAGGTGCGAAATCTGTTGCGAGGTCTAAACAACATAATTGCCAAATAAAAAAGTCGCCGCCGGCTTAAAGCGATGACCATTAATCAAAACTCAGAGCTGGAGAGGGAGAGGACGCTCCGAGGAGCAGCAGTAAGCGCAGAACCATACCATCTGCCTCCGGTCGACGGCGACCTCCCGCACGGAACGTGCACTGGAAGTCCGCTGAGAAATGGCACTGTCAACACTTTTTGGCCAATCGGAAAGCAGAAGCCAGACGGGGGGGCAGCGACAGGGACAGGGGCACGGAGCCAGTCAGCGACATTTGTTCCGGCCATAAGCGTTGGCCATGTCTAAGCAGAGCTTTACTTTCATTACCGCCTCCGTCGATGCTGCCGCCGGCTGATGGCTGATGACCTCCGATATGGGGCCAAGTCTGATTTCTGATTGCAGCGCACTCAATTGGGCAACTTCCTGTTAGGACAGGACTGAACCGGAATGTAGAGGACAATATTTGCTGATACGTGTGCCTGGTCTGCCTGGCCAGCATTTTTACGGCGAATCAACTTTAAAGTAAACTCCACTCCACCCGAATCCAACTGAACAAAGATCCAACCGAGACCACAGACCACTCGGGGTTCCAGTGACGAGGGGGAGTGACGACTTCCCTCACATTAGCAGTCAAATAATCATACGCCGCATTGTGCCGGGCCGAAAAGGGGAATGGGAACGGGGATAGAGGAGGGTGGACCTGTCGTGGCATCTGTTGTGGATTTTTGAATGTGCCGTCAACAGTTTCCACGGCCAGAGAGGAAAACGTTTGCCTATCGGGCAATGAAAATGGGAATGGGAATGGAGCTCGGTTGGAAATGGGAATTCTCGCACTGAGAGGAGGTACGGGGAGAAGGAACTTTAAACTGCGGGCCTTTGGCTGATGCAGGAGGATGAGCAGGAGGAGAATGCGTCCTTAGATAGCAACCACTGCCACTGCCACTGCCCCTGCCTCCGCCTCTGCTGCTGTCCCTGCCTCCTGCGTCTCTGGTTAGTTGGTTGGTTGGTTGACTCTGCCAACATCGTGCGACTCTTCAAAGGGCCAGGAGATAGAGGGATGGGGAATGGGGACCAGGAACACGACTACGACTGGTATGACACGCGACTGCTGGTCGGGATCATGGGGGTCATTGTAATCATAACGGTGACTCTCTCTTTGCTGGTGCTGAGTCCCAAACAGGACAAAAAGTGCGCTGAAATGGCGCCAAATTAGTCAAATCGCATAATGGCCACAATACAGGGTGCCCGCTGCATAATACTCGTGTAATGTGAGCAATTTTCAACCATTTTCGAATGTCAAGTCAATTGTCCAGACCCTCTGGACTCCTTTCCCCATTCGGCGCAGTTCTTTTGGCAAACAAACAAAAGCAATCGACTGGAGCGGCTTGGCTTCATTCTCAATCTGCTGCTGCCTCCTCTGCTCCGTCTTAGAAGCTGACGCTGACTGCTCTGCTCTGCTGCCATCTCTGCTGCTGTCTCTGCCTCTGGCTCTGCTCTGCTCTGCTTCTGGATGGATGATGGACAAATGGCATCCCAAAAGTGAGCAGCGGCTAAGCAGCGTAGTGGAGCGGACGGACAGCAGCCGCAGCAGAGGCGCGCGACAGTTTTTATGATTTTTCGTTGGCTGTTTTTCTGTTTCTCTGTTTCTGATTCTCTTTTGTTTGCTGTGCAATTATTTCCCCTGCCGCCGAATGTGTGGACTGTAATGGCAGCAATGTTAGTGTTGCTTCTCTTACAGTTACCATTACAGTAGCTGCTCTCCGTTTTGAGGGGGTGGCTGTTAACCCACCCTCTATTTCGCATCACCCCATGCTGGTCGCTCACACTGCTCGCTTCGCCTCACTTCTCTTATGGTTTTGGGGGAATTCTTTTTGCCATATTTCCTTTGAAATTCAACACTTTGTTTCCACTTTGTTTTCCGCATTTCTTGTTCGGGTGTTGGAATTTTCAGCAAATTTGCATACATTTCATGCGGCTTGCACTTACACTCCTTGTCCCCCCACCCTCTGGCACTCTCCCACCCCCCTCTTGGTGTCAATGTATCAATGTATTTGCGTGTCTTTGGGTCTTTGGGTAATTTCATTTTCAGGAAATGTTTCACCTTTTTGTCGAGGACACTTTCTGCTCTCCCCCTAGCAGTCGCTCTCCAGCTCTTTGTATTTGCATTTGCAGCTGCCTGTGACCCCCTCTTGTTTTTCCGTCTTCCTTTCACCCTCCCCACTTTATTTGCCTGGCACTTCACACGCTGCCACTTTCCACTTAACTTACCCCGCCTCACACCACACGTGCACACATTTCCCACCCTTCTACCTATCTACCCATCTACCCATCTACCCATCTACCCACCCACCATTGTCCCACCCCCCCACCCATTCCCATTCCTTGCGGTCATTTAACTGATGTTTCTATCATGCCCAGTGCTCGCTTTCTCTCTCCCCCTCTCTTCTTGGCCCTGCGGCTGGTAAATGTTGAAATCGTGCGAAAAATTAAATAAATGACCATGGTCCGATTTCTCCCATTTTCAGGTCCCATTTCCATTCCCCGTTCCCCCTTCCCAGTGCGCACGAACCGATCGGGTTCTCTGTTTTGTTTCCACCTTCTTTATGGCTTTAATGTCCTATAATTTTGCATTGATTTCCATTTACCTTTGCGATTTATGGCCCAAGGGTTAGACTTTCTATCCTAACTAGGCTCCATTTCTATTTCTTATACATCTGGATGCCACACACATAAAAGTATCCAATATTTCATTATTTTAAGCATATAAAAATGGAATGACATATGGGAATGCAAGGTATACGCCCCTGAACTGAGCAGAACCCCGCTCGTTTTTTCAAATATTAAATTTTTGTTCAGTGCACTCATATCAAGAGACCTCTGCGGTCTACCCCTCCTCCCCCCCACCCCCCACGTTTAATATGAGTTTTTACATATTTCATTCGCTTACACTTTTCCTTTTCCCCTATATTCCCCCCTCCCCCCTACCTCGTTTTTCCATTCAACAACAAATTGGCCAACGGGCCCTCCGCTTGTAGTCCGAAATTGCCTTTCATACCGTCAATTCCATCAGCAATTTCCGCGCCAATTAAAAAATTGTTGCAACTAGCCAGCTCCTGCTCTTGGTCTTGCTCCGGGCCCCCTCGGCATACCCCACTTGTGCATGCCATGCACGCACTGCAACAGAGGGGGGGAATGCTATGGTGTGCGGGATGTGCGGGATGCGTGCCAAGTGTGATGGGGGAATTCGGGTGTGGAATCGCGAATGAGGCGTCCATCCAGCTCCCTTCTTTTCGTTTTGTTGTTCATCATAAATAAATACTGTTAATTTTTCAATTGTCCGCCAGAACGCTTAACGGTTCCCTCGCGTCGTGTCCGGCAGGCACGTGCAATGTAATGCCCATAATGGAGGACCCCCAGTCACCCCAGTCGGAAATAAATGCTGGCTGCTGTGGTGCTTCCAGACTGCGAATACCCTTGCAGAGCCATAGAACTTTAATTTATTTCATACACATGATATTGCGGCACGATATTAATAATATAATATTAATATTAATATAATATATTATAATATTATAATATTAATATTATAATATAAATATAATTTAATAGTAAGAAGAGGAGTGTATCCTTAAATTAGAAAATTCCAAGCATTATTATCCCTGTTTTAATTAAAAGATTTAAAGATTGATAAACTCCGAGCTCTGATGCTGATCTGAGTTTGTTGCAAACTCCTCATAAAAACTTTAACACCTTCTGCCCGCGTATTCAAGGGGATTTCTGAGCATGGAGCAGGGGCAAGCCGATTCGCCATATGCCATGT